AGTTGGTCCAGGAAGATGCTGTATTTGTGGTATAGATCAGTGCCACAGCTGAGAAATACTATCCTTAGGAAGTTCTCAGTCACTTAAGAGGCCCTGGCAAAGTTGCCCTTCTTTTTCGTCCTTCTCTCAGAAGAGGAAAAAGGCTTTAAGTAAATTTTCTCTGTAACCCAAAAGCTACGTCTAGTTTCCAAGGTGCTACATAAACATCCCTGAGAAGATAGTCAGGGATGATATATAATTAATTATTAATTAATTAATAATGCCATACAATTATAGCTACATATTTGTACCTTTACACACATATATAATTATGCACATGTATATTACATAAACATGTATCAGACTATATATGTATGTTTATATATGTATATACATCCAATGCATCATACATTTGTGTCATGAGTTGTTTCCCAATATATTTTTCCTTTTTTGTGTGTAGTGTCTGTTTTTTTATTAGATTGGTAAATAGATTAGAAAGAATGCAGTCCATAATTTTTCAAATGTTTCCTCTTTAACTCTATAAATTGCCTTCAAAGCATTGCTTTTGCATAGTTCTTTAGTTTTTGTCTTATTTTTCTTGTCATTCAATTCAAATTTTTTCTAATTTCTGTAGCAACTTTTTTCTCTTATTCACAGGTTATTTAAAGTTTGTATTACTATCCAAACATTTGGGAGGTGTTTTAGTTTTCTTACTGTATTAATTTCTAATTTAATTGTATTACAGTCAGACAGCATACTCTGAATAAAGTTTAGTGCTTTGAATTTAGTTAAAGCTTGATATAAGACTGAGGATATGAGATACTTATTTTTCAAAATATTTTGTGTGCACTTGAGAAGAGTGTATATTCTTCAGTGATCTCTGATACTGTTCTGGGTATGTAGATCAGGTAATGATTAGTTTTCTTCACATTTCTCTGTTCTTGTTATTGTTTTCTCTGCTTATCCCATCAATAGCTACAGAGGTAAGTTGAAAGCAGATTTACCTATCTCTCCTTCCATTTCTTTCAATTTTTGCTTTACATATTTTGACATTATTAAATAAATAGAAATTTAGCTTTCTTTGGTTAGGTAAACTGATCCTACTATTATTATTACTGTTATTATTATTATGTCCCTCTTCAGCTGAAAAAAGTCTACAGTGTGTGATGTTAATATGGTTGTACTAGCTTCCTTTTCAGTGATGATTACATCTATTCTCAATTTTTAAGACATCTGATAGTAAGTATTTCTCATGCTGTATTTTCCTTTTTTCATCTGTTGTTCTCTTTCCTACTTTTTTTTTCTTTTGAAATGATATTTTATTACTAAATATTTTCCTTGACTAACTCTCTAGGTACATGACCTTTCATTTTCGTTTATCTCTCTTAATATTTTTCCTTGAGTATTTTCTTACTTTAAGGAGTATAACATTTGTTCCTAACTTAATCTATTTCAAGATAGCACATTTCACATTTATTTAAAAATGCAGGGATTTTATACTACTTTAATCCCCTTTACTTATCTTCATTCCCCCAGTGTTACTGTCATCTCCTCTAATTTTACATATTTAAAATCCTACAGGTATTATTAACTTTAATTTAACAATTCCATATTCATATACCTGTTCCAACATTCCTGCATTTTCTGTTCCTCTTCATTCTTTCCTGCTCTTTGTTATTTGTTTGCTCCTATATGATACTATTTGTCTTTTAAGAACTTCTGTTAGTGTTCCATACAGTATCACTCTACAAAAAGCTTAATTTTTAGTTTTTATTTGTCTAAAATAGGTCTTTTGCCTTTAGTTTAGTTTAGTTTAGTTTAGTTTAGTTTTGTTTTGGTTTGGTTTGGTTTTTTGGTTTTTTGGTTTTTTTTCAGGTACCAGAAACCAAACTCATGACCTTGCATTTGCCAGGCAGGCGCTGTTCCACTGAGTTAAATCCCCAGCTCCTGCCTTTAGTTTTGAATAGTGCTTTCACTGAATATAAAATGCTAGGTTTACAGTTATTTTATCTTAATATGCTAAATGTCTTATCCTATTTTTTTCTATATTCTCTACTTATTTTTGAAAGACCAACAGTAGTGATGTTATTCCCCACTGATAATAATGTTTTTCTTTTTCTCTGGACACTTTAAAAATTCTCCCTTTTCTCTTTCTCTAATTTTTGTAATTTTGATTCTTAG